TTAACAATTATTCCACGAGCGCGCGTTGGATATGAGATGATAGATAGCCAACGAGGCGCGTAGCGCCGAGTTGGCTATAATCATCTCATATCCAACAAGCTCGAGTGGAATAATTGTTTTATTAAAAACGTTAAATTAAATTATTAAATTTTATTAAATCTTTAGCTCCCTTTTAATTTTAAGCTGACACGTACGCTTGCCATATTTGTAGATAATGGTATATTGGCTGATATACCATAATGGCTAAGCCAATAAAAAGTCTTGAATTGCATTATCCAATGATCTAGTTTTTAATAATACTAATTATCAGTCATAACTCTAATTATCTTACTATGCTCATTGTATCATACCATAACCAAAGAGTCAGGCTTTCCTCTTTCTCCTGATTCGTTTGATAGCAATTGCGATTAACACAACACAAACGAGTACTGCAAAGGCACCAACTGATCTCCAGATAAATTGGAATGGAAATTCAGAAGTTTCTTCATCCCTGTCTGAAAAGGAGAAGAATATGACCATTTGATCGATGGAAATATTACTTTATTCAAATCATGTAAAAAAGTCATATGTGATAAGATAAAGAGTGACCCTGAAATCTTTTGACATGATCAAAGATGTGACACTATATGGCTAGGATATAGAAGATACATCATTTACAGCACCACAAATCTAACGTGAGATGGATGCGCCGGAAGACGAATACAACAAGTAATTATGCGATTCTGTAGGTTTGTGATACACACTAGTACATAAACCGTTACCTTCAATTGAAACTTTGATGTCTAAAAAAGATAAAGAATTGTCAGAAATTTCCCAGGTATATTTCAGAACCGGGTGAAAAGAATTGACTGCGGTTATGAATTGAGTGAGCTTCTCTCTGGTAGAGGAGGTAGCGCACTTGTATTGAACGAAGTTCAATACAAGTTTGAAAGTGTCCACAATAAAAAAATCATCACTTAAAATTAGAAAAAAAAGACGAAGGAAAGCTAGAAAAGGTGAAATAGAGACTTAAACAAACTTGCTTTCTATACCGAGAATACAGTCTTCAGGTAAAGTCCCAGGAAGGAAAATTAATCGATCAATTGAAACTAATAATGTTATCTTAAGAATATCTTTTCAGCTGCATGCTTGCAATTGTGAGAGGAAAACTGGACAAAAATTAAAAACGAAGGATGTTTGGCTTCTAAATGAACTAAGGATACCAACGTAATGATGTAAAAACGATAGCATCATCAAAGGAACAGTTTCCAAACCCAATCAGCTGCAGTGTACTTCGTACAATTGAAAAGCTGAACCCCTATTGGCTTTTAAACATTTTTTTCATGGCAAAGCTGTAAAGGGTAACAAAAAAATTGCTAAATTAAAATGGTTTGTTTTTTAACATGAATTTACTGACTAAAAACTGCCAGATATATTAGGAAGTCCCTTCACACGCACACGAACCTATAAATAATATTGTTGCTTATTAATGTAGTTAGTTACTTTAGTTAGTGGAGGCGCGGTGGCCTGGTTAGTACGAGCATGCGTAATTTAGACTACCTTTTGAGGGCTGTGTCGAATATTGATGGTTTTCGTCATTTTCAGCCCTTGCCTCAGGCCAGCATACATATATATATATATGATTTTTTAGACAGCCCACGTTACATATGTTAGGAAAAGAACCAGCAAAATTAGAACGACTACAATAAGTCAGGGCTATCAAAACTACCCTCTCCAAATAAAAGAGAAAGAAACAAGCAAAACCAAAGCAAGAAAATGACCAAAACAGAAATCGGTCTTATGGCAGTTGCAATTTTGCGTTTTGTTTCACAAAAGTTTTTAAAAACTTATAAAAAAGAAACAAAAGCCAACCGAGACAAGGAAAAACCACGAACAAGTCTATTCCACCTGGTCGGAAAGATTTGATGCCTAGAAAAATACTGAACGCGGACTGTTACTATTTACCTTAACTCACTATTAACACTTGGAGGTTGTATTCAAGTCTTTTAACACGAAATAAATCCTATCATTGTCTCGTCTGGGATTCTCAGAGGTCAAGAAAATAACTTGTGATTAATTCTAACAATTTCTGTTCTCTTAATTCTCCCGCGTTTTTCATCTTTCGCTTTTTAGCGAATATAATACGACTTTCAAATGAGGTTTGACACAAACCATCGATTAGCACTGGACCAGTGCTATTAGCAAGACCATCCATCACCACAAATCGGGACGTTTCGAGCCCGTGGGTTGAAGTCAGCTGTGTATTGCATTCCACTGAAGTACAAGATGGCGGCCATTGCTACTCGGTCTGAGCGAGAACGTGTTTCATACGATATTCTACATAATTCTACTGTGAGGTTGCTTCTCGTCGAACATATTCTAAAGGAAACTCAGAACTTAGCTTTAACTACCATTCAATTTCTTGCCTTTTGTATTCGCTCAGCAAATCAGCCATTTCAAACCCTTCTTTCAACCGGAAGTTGTGAAGAAATCCGCCGCATGAATTGGTCACTAAAGAATTTGTACGAGAGTAGCCTGAGACCTAGCTATCCGTAGATACACCAGGGGATTTTGAGAACAAGAAACATGGCGGCGAAAATCACTTTTCAATCGACTTTTGCAGCGTTTCTTGATGAACACTACACAAGGAGGACTTTAAAAATGGCGGCATGGCTTTTTAGATTCTTCTTAACTGCAGAAAACTCAATGGCTCTTGGAAGAACTTTGGCTTAAAAGAATCAACCTACCACGAGTGACAGGGCTAAAGCAGGCTTCGCACAAATCATTTCGATCTGTGCACCTNCCATTACTATATATGATGCGCATGCGCGGCCGCCATCTTGTCCCATATTTCTGGCAATGGGGTTCAGCCACACGTTTCCGGAAACAAAAGTTAAGAACACGACCACGATACTCCTCGGTTCGCTCTAAAATATCCAAAGCCGAATCAACAGACCCCATAGAGCTCTTGGTAGATGGGAAATAAGCAACTTAAACAGATTCCGGTCCTACCTTTTTCTGTCTAATGATACGAGCAAGTTCGTAATACTCCTTGGCCTTCTCAAAGTCGCCTAGTTTCTTGTACACAGAACCCACGTTGCAATAAATAGTTGCCACATGTACATGGTCAGGTCCAAGCTTTTTCTGGCAGATGCTTAGAGCAAGTTCGTAATACTCCTTGGCCTTCTCTAAGTCGCCCTGTTCCTCGTGAACAGAACCCAGGTTACTGTAACTAGTTGCCGCTCTTACATGCTCACGTCCCAGCTTTTTCTCGTTAATGCTCAGAACAAGTTCGTGATACTCCTTGGCCTTCTCAAGGTCATCCAGTTCCTCGTGGACAGAACCCAGGTTACTGTAACTAGTTGCCGCTCTTACATGCTCAGGTCCCAGCCTTTTCTCTTTAATGCTCACAGCAAGTTCGTGATACTCCTTGGCCTTCTCAAAGTCACCCAGTTCCTTGTGGACAGAACCCAGGTTACTGTAACTAGTTGCCATTCTTACATGATCAGGTCCCAGCGTTTTCTCTTTAATGCTCAGAGCAAGTTCGTGATTCTCCTTGGCTTTCTTAAAGTCGCCCAGTTCCTCGTGAACAGAACCCAGGTTATTGTAACTAGTTGCCACTCTTACATGCTCAGGTCCCAGCTTTTTCCCTTGAATGCTCAGAGCAAGTTCATAATAGTCCTTGGCCTTCTCTAAGTCGCCCAGTTTCACGTGAACAGAACCCAGGTTATTGTAACTAGTTGCCACTGTTACAAGGTCAGGTCCCAGCTTTTTCTCTTGAATGCTCAGAGCAAGTTCGCAATACTCCTTGGCCTTCTCAAAGTCGGCCAATTTCACGTGATTAGAACCCAGGTTACTGTAACTAGTTGCCACTGTTACATGCTCAGAGCAAGTTCCTGATACTCCTTGCCCTTCTCAAAGTCTAGACATTTTAATTTACCTAATCATTCTAAGCAACATATGGCAATCTGCGGTCTTTCCTTACACTTAGGTAGCACGGAAAGCCGTAAAAATCTTGAACAAAACCTCATCTTTCAAACCGGCAGTCTAAATTCCACAGGGATCAACGAACGCTTTTCATTCCACTAATTTATTCTTGTTATTCTCGTTACCATGTTCCCACCAATAACGTAGCTCCATTTTCTGCCTTTAAAAGCACACACAACCCACT